GGGTCACTGTTTGCTGGTGTATAACCCCCACTAGTAGGGTCACTCAACGAACCGGTTCTATCAATAACATGTCGACATGTGCTAGCGTTTATAACTGTAATATCCCAAAATTTTGGGGGTATTTTAGCATTAAATAAGGGACTTAATTGAGAGAAAATATTATTGAGGGGCTTAATAGCAAAATTTTTAAAAGTTGAGGGACTAAAAAGAAAAGAAATTAGGATAAGGATCAAGGCTGATATTTCTCTCCTCAGCCACATGTTTTGCTCATCCTTATCTTCTTCTTCTCCCCGATGCTCTGCCCCCCGACCCTCTGCACCCGACGAGCTCCCCCCGTTACCGCCACCCATTTTCCGGCCGGAAATCCGGCAAAGCTTGGGGATTTTCTCCTTCTTCTCTTGTTCTTGAACCCAGAAATTTTCCCCTTGCTGGAAATCCCGGATCTGCTCTGCTTCTTCCTCCCTTGTCCGTCGGGTTCTGCTGGGTTTGAATCCTTCGGCCTTTTCTGGTAAGAAGCAGCCATGAATTCATCTCTTTAGCTTTGAATTTGGCTTGGGTTTACCTTGAATTGTGTTTTGGTTTTTGAAATGAGGTAGCCGTGAGTTTCCCCTGAATTTTCTGTACATGCCGCCGGCCTCCACCCCAAACCCGCCAGCTCCAGCCTTGCTTGCTGAAAATTTCTGGTAGGTTGGCTTCTTTAATTCTTGAAAGCTAGTTGATTGATTGCTGCCTATGTTGTCCGAATTTTGCTGGAAAAATGGGAGGAATTTCGGTAGCATTTGGTAGCAATTAAATGTGTTTTAAGCTTGGTTTGGGTAGGGAATTTAGCTTGAATTAGCTGCTGTGATGATTTGTGTGAGAAGTCTCGTGTGTGTGAGTTGTGGGTTGCTAAGGTCATGCTATCCATGTGCTGCCCGTGAGATTGGGGAAATTTTGGTAGCTTTAAGATATGTTTTTAAGTGTGGTTTAAGTGTAAATTAGCTTGGAATTGGGTTGTTGTGATTTTGGAGAGAAACCCGTGAATTAGCTATGTTTTGCCAATTTTGGAAGTTGAAGTTACTGTTCACGGTACTGTTCACGGCACTGTTCACGGTACTGTTCATAGGCACTGTTCACACACCGAGGGTCAATAATTAACGGGGATTTAAATGAGTAGTTTGTGATATAAGAATAAATTTTGAGATGTCCGGTTATGTGGAGATTGATAGAAATAGCACTGTGATTAGGGGTAGTGCTAAAAATGATTTCACTGTGAATTTGTGGTGATATGGTTATTAATTGTGGAATATTGTGATTAGGTTTTGATCGTTCTGTCACCGTAGCGCTTGGGTTAGCCTTCTGTTCTGTGCGAGTGAGGTAAGTAAATTATGGTAAAGCCCTTCGATTTTAAAGCATGTTTTCAATTGTTTTTGAGATGGTGGCAAGGTTTAAATTGATTTTAAATCAGTTTTATCAGTATTTGGGTGTGATTAAACTGAAATGGAAATTGTGATGATTTTATGGGAATTTCATTGTTTTTCGGGAATTGAGCGTGATTAGCATGAAAACGGGAATTTCATTGTTTTTTCTAGAATTGAGCATGATTGGAATGAAATTGTTTTCATTACATTGAGTAGAGCATGCCTATTTGAAATTGACTAAATTGTTTTGATGAACTGAGAGCTTTGTAAATTATGATTTTCTGTTAAATCCATGCCCACATGGAATTTTCTGGTTATTTCTGAAATTATGGATGTCGATTGTGAATTTGGGATTTCGATTGTGAATTACGGATTTCGATTGTGAATTACGGATTTTTGGAAATCCTGCATGGTTTTGTCTCGGATATAGTCATGATTACTGACGCCCCGCTAGTGGGAGATGTAAACGCTAGCACATGTCGACATGTATTTCTGTAGAACCGGTTCACCTTGCCAATGGGGTTAAACACTGGCACTACCTGACGCCTGCCAGTGGGAGTGTATTAAACACTGGCACTACCTGACGCCTGCCAGTGGGAGTGTGTTAAACACTGGCACCATTCCTGACGCCTGCCAGTGGGAGTTTGTTAAACACTGGCCATGACTTATAGATGAGACTACTGAACTGATGAGTTTTATTCTGCATGAGCGGTTTGTTATGAAACGTTTTGCTATTGTACTGAATTTGATTCCGTATTAATGGTTTATTTGGCATGCTTAAAAGTTTTACCCAAGGGCTATCCATATTTACTTACTGAGTTATCTCATAGTTTTCCTTGTCCACCATTTCAGGAAACGAAACTGAGGACGGGGAAACCGAGGGGAGTGACGAGTTAGAAGGCTAGCCATTCAATTGGGGTATAAGTTTTAGATTTTATCATCCTTTTGTAAGGTTGATTTTATTCATGAGATTTTGTGATTTGGATAAGTTCCGAGCCTTGTGCACTTGTGGGACCCGTCTTACGAGTGCACGGCGTCTGTCACGTCCTCGGATTTGGGTTCTGGGGCGTGACAATAACCTCCCCCACTAGCAGGGTCACTAATAACATATCGACATGTGCCGACATGTGCTAGCGCTTATAAACTCCCCCACTAGCAGGGTCACTAAT